TGATGGATATTATTTCTGATATAGTATTCTTGGATTCAGTCCTTTGCTTTGCAACACTTTGTATACCTCCTTCCATTCCCTTCTAGCTTGGTGTGTTTCTGTTGAGAAATCATTTGATAATCTGATGGGGGATCCTTTGTAGGTAACTCTGTCTCTCTTTTGCAGCTTTTAAGATCCTCTTTGTCATTAACATTTGCCATCGTAATTATGACATGTCTTGGTGTGGTGCTAATCCAGAAGATCATCTCTCATCCCATATGGTAAATTTAAACTATTAATAGGTATTTTAATTCCTTTTTTTGTCCTCTGCAGTGTACGATTTGGAAAATGAGTTCTTATTTATTAATATGCGGCGTGTTTTAAATCCAGGGTGATCAAAATACAGTGCTTTGCTGAAACAAGATCCTTATAGTCCACTTCCACGCCACCGAGTGAGCAGTAGGAACACGCCTCCTTTCGTGTTTCTCTGCTCTCTTCCCCCAGGAACAAGCTGAGAGCAGCCGTTTTCAAAATCAGAATTGGCGCTATTTCCTACAATGTAGTGAAGCAGCAAACAGAAATTTTGTGACTGTTTTCACAGACACTTTCTATAAAAGGGTGAGTTTAGACCATGTTTGGGAAAACAAGACATCTAGAGTAAATGTTTTAAAGTCAGTATTTGTGTGACTGATTAATTAAAAGTAATTCCTAGTGTGAAATGACGTGTTACCTTGAGGCCATCTGCTGGCCAGCGGTGCAGACTGCACTACCGGTTGTGTATACATCTGGTGCCAGCATGCGGCTGTGAAAGACTAGGCTTGTGGTTTACCTCTGAGCTGTGCGCTGGGGTTGGAATTTGCAAGCACTTCAGGATTCTGCTTTAAAACACACAGAATACAAAAGAATGGTTTCTAAAATGTAACAATTAGAATAAATAACATTTCATTACAATTTTTTAAAGGGATTTTAATAAAGAAAATGATTACCATGTAATTGGCAAATTCTCCAGGGAAAAGAAATTTAGGACTGAAAAGGGTTTATTTATTTATTTATTTTTAGATCTAAGCCTGATTCTCAGCTTGGTGCCTTATACACACTAGGCCCTTCCGAGCCAGCTCCCAGCTCTGGGCGCTGCTTGCACGCACACCTCCCTATGGGTGCGGCTCCCAGTTCAAGAGTCCAAGAGGCCGCGTGAGCCCCAGGGGGTCCATCCAGCGAGCCGCTCCCCTCTCTCAGCCGCCGGCCTGAAATGCCCCAGCCCTCAGACCTCTCAGCGTCTCAGGACGTGTCCTCAGGAGGAAACGTATTCTTAGTGTCTGAGCTCCAGAGAGCCCAGCCCCGCCGCGCCCTCTGCCAGGGCCCACGGGCAGCAGGACGCGCTCCACACAGACCAGGCCTTTCTAACTTCCCCGAGCTGTGCCCAGACCAGACGCCAGGGTGCCACTCACGTCGCTTCCAGAATCCCCCCGGAGGCCACACCCTTAGAGTCACCGGCCTTCTGGATCGTGCCCCGCCTCCCCCCAGGGCCAGGACCCCCCCCACTCCTACTCCCACCCTGCGTCCATCTGTGGCTCCTGCTCCACACCGGGCTGCAGCCAGAGCGTCTCTAAACATCACCGCCCATGGAGCAGCCGGCAGGACCCTCAGTGGCCCTCCCTCACCTGTCAGAGAAGCTCCCGCTGAGTAGGGGAGGCCTTCAGACCCTCCCACCATTCTCCATCCTGTGTGCCTTACAGACACAGCCCTCAGAGCTCGGGCCCCAGGGCAGGGCAGGCCTGGGCGCCCGTGACTAACACGCAGCGCAGTGAGGCAGAGACCACTGCCTCCAGCCCCTCCATGTGCCCCAGGCCTAACCTGCCAGGCCTGGTCCAGGAGGCCTGAGCCAAGACGGGAACCTGCTCGGTACTCTGGGGCCAGGCTCCGTGCTCCCTCTGGATTTTGCTCAGGCCTCTGGGCAGAGGGACGACCCGCCCCCTGCTCACAGCACCTACCACTGTGGCTGCAGGCTGAAGCTATGCCACTTCCTTTATAAACTCTGCAGGAGGTCCCACGCCTCTGAAGTACGACTCCATGTAAGAGGGTTACAGATGTTACTCCAAAGGATTTAAGCAACAAGTCCACACGGACTGTAACTGAGCAGATTTCATTTCCCTGAGTCATATTCCATCGTATCCAAACCCTGTCGGTCCCAGCAGTGGTTTTCACAGGGCACAGGGCACACAGAGCCGTGGATGTCCTGCAGAAGGCCCTGCAGGTCCGACGGAGGCGGGCACGTTCCCGGGGCCCTGCACTGCTGGTCCCCAGAACACACCCGCACAGCAGCAGCACGTTCGACCACTTCAGAGGAGCTGTAAGACCATGTTTATCTAAAATCATCACGGGAACGAGACACTGACCCCCGGCGCAGCAGTCTCTCTCCAAGGCCGTCTCTGGTTTTCAGTGTTTCCATGGATCCGAGTAACTGTAAAGCCTCATTAGTTTAGAGGCTTGTATTTAACTTCAAAAATAAAGTGCTTTGGTTTTAAAAATAAAAGCGAGGCTATCTTTCAGCTTCTAAGAAACCTGCTCCTTCTGAGAGTGGAGAAAAGACCATCTCTGGGGAAATCCTCCTTCAGTACAGAACACTTAGCTGGTCACCACCTTCCCGTCCAGCCTGCGTGGCGAGCTGGTCGCTCCAGGGGAGGCCACTGTCCATCGCAGTGCGCTCTCCTCCAGCACAGGGCACTGCATAGCAAGCAGGTGGGCGTGACGACATTGAGTGAAAAGCCCACCTTCCCCTTGCAGTCAGGGAGGAGAAAGGACAGCCACACCTGCCAACTGGTTCTTTAGCATAAAAATCTGAGTTTCCCCACATCCCAGTTCTCAACCTACAGAAATATTTTTCTGCTTTACATGTAGTTTAAGTAATAAAGTCATAAAGTAAGTGTGTTAAAACCTTACTCACAGCTCTCTGTGTGTGGGGGTGGAAGCAGGACTTACTGTACACCCTAGTGGACTGAACGAGAAGACTGACTTGGGTTGTTTGTGTGGGGAAAGAGAGGGAGCACCTACATGACTTTCATTAGTGACTGCTGTCATCCAAACAGGAAGTGCCCACCAGCGCCCTCCTCCAAGCCCTGCGAGCCCCCCTGGGCCCTCACCCCTTGGGCACTGATCTTGGAATGGCAACCCAGGCTAGGCCCCAGAAAAGGCTCATCAAACCGTGTCCCTGGAGAAAAACAGCTCTTTCGTTCACAGGTGTGACAGCAAAACAAAGGAAATGACCTTCAACACAAGACGCTGCAGAATTAAGTCCCCCGAGAAGGCGTGACGCCTGACACTCCGATTCTGCACTCATGTTAGGGGCTACGGTGCCGAGAGCTGGGGAAGTGCAGTCCAGTAAGGGAGGAGTTAGCGCCTAATAAAGCAGCCAAGTCTCTCTGGGTTTTACTCTAATCAAAACCAGCCTGTCTCAGAGCTCCTTTCTCTGCCTCCACGAGGAACTGCCCGTGGTACTTACCGAATGCAGCGGATGTCTGGCCTCACCGGGCCCGCGGATCAGTCTCTAGGGGTGAGGCTGGCCTCTGACTCTTAACCAGGTCCCAGATGGAACCAGCATCCATAACCTTGTTCTGACTTGAATGACAGACCAGCTTTCAACAGCTCCTTCAGTCTCCAGGGTCAGACAGAAGAAAAGCCCCTCTTCGCTCCCACAATGAACAGGCGCCTGTGTCCCGGCTGACCGCAGTCTGCTTTTATTGAGGAGGGAAACCCGTGGGCCTCTGCCCTTGCACAAGTTCCTCTCCCATCACTGCTTTCCTTCCCCTTGATGGGCTCTGATCGTCCCACGGGCCTAGGCGCGGAGCTGGAGGCTCGCCTGGAGGAGCCGCATGGAAGCGTCCCACTTAGACACTCACCCTTCCCAACGCACCCTCTCACCTGGCCTCTCCCCACTCACACCCTCGGATTCTGCTTGCATTGTCCAAATCCATTCTATTCACGTTTTAATCTGCCGCTCCAGTCACCACCATAGCGAGGTTTGTTCAGCAACATTATGAAAACAGCCACCAACGCTAATGCTGCCCCCAGACTGGGGGGGCCACAAGGGCTGAACTCCTGGGCAACTCCGGAGAGGAGGGGGGCCATGACCCGGCCCACGGCCGTCACTGACTGCCCCACACCTATGAGGGTACCCCTGGCCTGGGCCCCGCCGGCAGCTAGCTGGAGGTCTGTGATGCACGTCCTGCCGAGGGCCGTGGAGAAGGACAGCAGCACGGAGGGGACGACGGCGGCGCCCAGGGTGGGGGCCGTGGAGTAGAGCAGCAGCAGCAGGAAGGTGAGTGCGCTGGAGTGCAGCAGCAGCCTGGGGGAGTTGTGCCTGTACAGCCGCAGGACGGGCCCCAGGACCAGGCCGGCCAGGACCCCCACGGCGCTGCTGTAGCTGATGAGGTAGCCCGTCACCTTGGGTCGCACCCCGAAGCGCTCCTCGAGGGCCAAGACAAAATTGCTATAGTACAGCATGACCGCCACGGCCATGAGCAAGCGCACCAGGAACACGTCCCACATCTCCGAGAACACCAGGCTCTTCAGGCCCCGCAGCGCGGCCACGCACTCCGCCCAGGGCCCACGGGCCTGCTGGCCCTTCACGCTCCCAGGCCCCAGGCTCGCCTCCTGCACGGCACAGTCTGTCTTGCCCAAAGGCACATGGTTCTCACCCAATCGCAGGCTGCTCTCGGTACTATGGACACTCACTTCACTCCATGGAAACAGCCAAACGAGACCTGTTGAAATGCACGTCTGTTAGAGTGGGTGACTTAACGGTCACACACGCCTCCCACGGGGACAGAAAATGACTGCATTAGATTATATTGCATTTTTTTATTAGCAGATTTACTCATCTGTATTCTTGAATCCAGTTTTTAACCATTCCCACAGCTACTTCTACTCCATTTTAATACCAGAATTCTGCAATTCGCCTTAAGGAAAATCTATGCCTAAGCAATACTCACTGTTTTCCCCAGCTCAGGAGCCTGTGAGGGCTTCCTCTATCCCACCATTTCATGTCTAAATTCTTAGGCTTTCACTTAAGTTCTTCCCTCACTACTGTGCTCATTCTCTGACTATCCACCATCTGACCACCCACCCGACACTGAGGAGTCAGGCTTCTAAATGCTGAATCCCGTGCTAGCCACTACATTCACACACAAGGCAAGGCCTGTACAATCCCTGTCCCCAAGGAACTTAAACCTGAGGGGGTGCGGACATGCAGACGGGCAATTCGATTCCAGGTTAAGCGCTACGCTGGGGAGGCAGAGGGTGCTAGGCCAGCCAGCCCTGGCAGGGCGTGGCCGGGGTTCCCGCACCAACGCCAGTCAGGAAGCACCTGCAGGATCTGCGCTTTTGCAAGTCTCACGTCACAACCTCTGGGGGCACCATTCCCATCGCCCATGACACCCCTTACCCAGCAGCTCTGTCCCTGCTCAGATAATGCCCTCTGCCCCCAGGTGACAGGCACGGTCTTGCCTCCGCTGTTATGATCCATGCCAACCAAGTACAATGACTTCGTGCCAATCCCTGCCCTGAGTTTTCTTAAAACTGAACTCAAGCTCACCACCTAGACCCATTTCCTAGCTCATCCCTGTGGTTTTCAGTCCTTCGGCAAGTCCATGGGCCCGTAGCCGCCGGTCCGGGCTGCTCCCTGCTGTTCCCAAGCTCTGCCTGCGCGTGTGCATCCTCCAAACACAGTGTAAGGGACCTATTAGCCAGGCACTAGTTTAGGACAGAAAGCTGGTCATGTGAGAAAGCAGGCCTGGACTTTCCCTCGCTCTCATTTATGACAGTTCCCTTGGACAGCTCACAGAACTTGTTAAGACGTGAAAGAACTGTCGCTAAGGGACTAAAAGAGAAGTATAATTACATAATAATAAAAATGAGGATGACAGCAACTGGCATGTACTGGGAGGTTACCATGTGCACCGGAGGCGGGAAAACTGCTTCTGTGCAAACCTCCACTCGTTCTGACAACACGTCCACCAGGGCTGTGTCTCCAGCTGCGACAACGAGGAGACGGAGACAGCCAGCTGAGGCCCACACTGAGTAGGGCCGGGCGGGGACGGCACCCAGTCTCAGACCAGAGCCTGAGTTCCGACCCAGGAGAAAACAAGTCATGGTCAGGGAAGGGGCAGATCAGAGCAAGGACATAAGAAGGGGTCGGGTTGAGGAAAATGGCTGTCATAGAGGAAAAAAGTATAACAAAATGGATTGAGACGACAGCCATACACTGCTCACCACCCTGCAAGGCCCAGCACACTGTGCGACACTGTCTGTGTCCCCTCTCCCTCCTTCCTGCATGTCTCTGTGGGCACTGTCTGTGTCCCCTCTCCCTCCTTCCTGCATGTCTCTGTGGGCATTTTTGTTGTCCCTTCCTCTCCCCTCCTCAGCTCGCTGTGGGCACTGTCTGTGTCCCTTCTCCCTCCTTCCTGCATGTCTCTGTGGGCACTGTGTCCCCTCTCCCCTCCTCCCCTGCATGTCTCTGTGGGCACATCTTTGTCCCCTCTCCCCTCTTCCCCTGCATGTCTCTGTGGGCACTGTCTGTGTCCCCTCTCCCTCCTTCCTGCATGTCTCTGTGGACACTATGCCCACCCCCTACTCTCCCCTCCTCCCCTGTAAGTCTCTGTGGACACTGTCTGTGTCCCCTCTCTCTCCTCCCTGCATGTCTCTGTGAGCACTGTCTGTGTCCCCTCTCCCTCTCCCCTGCATGTCTCTGTGGACACGTCTGTGCCCCCCCCCCCATTCTCCCTCTTCCCTGCATGTCTCTGTGGGCACTGTGTGTGCCCACCC